AGGGAGGGAGGGAGGGAGGGGAACAGAGAAGATGGCGTGAGGGCTCTCCCCTGGGGCAGGTGGAGGATGGCAGTGCCCTGGAGGGTGAACAAATGTGGAAGAGAGCTGGCAGTACTGTCAGAAGGGAAGCTTATGCCATGAGGGGAAAGGTCTCAATAGCAGTGAGAACAGAAGGTGTTAGACAACACTAGGATAAGGGGTGTGAGTCAGCCAGACCTTATAGGAGAGAAGCAAAGAAAATGGCGGGAAACCATCTTCAGATTTTAGACGTGAGCCATAGGAAGAGCTTGATGCGTTGGATTAAGGTCCTAGACAAGGCTGTGCTGCACAGACATCATCCCCTGCCACTCTAGCGACAAGACCCCCTTCCTTGAGCTGACGTTATAGTGAGAAAAACCACAGGCAAAGGAGGTCAACCACAGTTCAAGGTAGAACCACACCTGGCTCAGCACCAGCTTGGTGAAGGTCTTGTGAGGACGAGACGGTAGGATAGGGGATTTTTGCCACACACAAAGGGGTGAGGTCAGAATGGAAAGAAGGAGTGAAAGAGAAGCTCAAGCCAATCCTTTGCTTAGGACTAGACACCTGTTGTTTCTCTTTAAGACTGTAGGGGGAGCACAAAAGTCAGTGGAGAAGCCTGCTCTCTGAAGCACACCTCAGGGACCCAGACCTGGGAGGTGGGGAAGAGCCCTGTCTTGGCACCTGTGGAATGTAGCTTGGGATGGCTCAGGGTGGCAGCCCACAGATCGCCTTGCTCTGCCTGCCACTTACTGATGCCCATGAGGGTGTGTCCTACCCGTGGGGGCTGGTAGAAGCAGAACATGGAGTCAGCAGTTGGCAGAGAAGATGATGTTCCTTTTAAACATGTTCAAAGTGTCTGAAAGTTAGGAGTGGAGAAATAAAATGCAGAAAATTGGTCTGATTTAGAGTGGCTTGGTGGCCACTCCTGAGGTCCATGCTTCCTAAGTTGGGATACTTTCTTTATAACAGAGAAGGGGATCTTCGTTCAGTTCAATTTGGTGATAATATTAAAATCTGGAATATTTAGAGGATGGATGAGTTTTAGTTCATACTTTTTGCATAAAATGAGTTAGGCAAAAATCTTTCTATGAAGCACTATCCTCTCTTGCCCTAATAATTAGCATAGAATGTGGCTGATTCTCCTTCTCTCAACTTACTTAATTTACATACAATAAAATTCACTCTTGGGAGGTACAATTATGTAAGTTTGCATAAACACATGGAGGCACATAACCACCACTGCAATCAAGATACAGAACAGTTCTATGAGCAAAAAACATCTATTCTTCATGCTGTCCCTCTGTAGTCAAATCACTTCCCTCTAACTCCTAGCAACAACTTATCTGTTCTGAGTTTTCTCTTGACAATTGCCTATTTGAGTAAGGTCTGAGATTTCTTTACGATTTGCTGCTATCATAACAACAGTAACAGCAGTAATAGTAATATTTAACACATATTAATTATACATTTCCAATGTGCCAGGCACCATCTGAAGCACTTTAGAGATGAAGAAACTGAGACTTTGAGAAATTTTGGAAAAGAGAGGAGGGAAGAAGGACTTGCCCAAGGTCATACAGTGGCAACCCCATGGTTTGAGTCAGCCATGTCCAACTCCTAGGTCTATTTTCTTTTTTTTTTTTTTCTTTTTTTTCTGCTGTACATGGGCTTCTCACTGTTGCGGCCTCTCCCGTTGCAGAGCACAGGCTCTGGACGCGCAGGCTCAGTGGCCATGGCTCACGGGCCCAGCCGCTCCGCGGCATGTGGGATCTTCCCGGACAGGGGCACGAACCCGTGTCCCCTGCATCGGCAGGCGGACTCTCAACCACTGCGCCACCAGGGAAGCCCCCAGGTCTATTTTCTTAACCTCTATCCAATTCTGCTTCCAGGAAGACAAAGAAAGTAGGGCGATGTGGAAAGAATATCTGCTAATTTCGGGAAGCTCAGTTTAGACCTGAGATTGTCTTACTCTAGAAATAAACAGAACTTATATAAAAATTTGGTTAATCATGCTAATGAAGCAATAATTGACTGGGTGCAAGATAGAATGAAGCCAGGATCCTAGAACACCTTCCGTACAATCTTTGTGATATGCAGTGAAGATAAAGCCCAGATACGTTACGTCCACCCTCATAAAGTTGATCAGGCATGCAAAGCTAGAATTTCCTGATCAGACGCTGAAATGTTGTCTCAATGCTCAGAGCACCAGCTTCCTCCTAACTTTACTAAAACAGTGAAATCGGATCTTTAATCTTAGTCTTGTGCATATTTCAGGTTGGAGTCCCCCACCCGGTCTCTGGTGATGGAGGCCCCAAAAGGAGTAGAAATAAATGCAGAAGCTGGCAACATGGAAGCCACCTGCAGAACAGAGCTGAGACTGGAGTCCAAAGATGGAGAGGTAAGCATGAGAGGAACAGAAGCCCAGAGAGACACAGCTCCAATGACCCAGTGTTTCCGAAGACGCATCACTCCCTTTGCCTCTGAAGTTTATCCTACAGTGTAATGATCCTACAGTGTGACAGCAAAAAGAGCCAATCGGAAGGTTTTATTGCTGGAACAGATAAGTTGAATGGCACGGTTATGAGCCAAACCCACAACACATAAAAGTTATAATTCATTATCTGTAAAAGTGCAGAGGTAATAGTATGTATCGCAAGAACAGAATTATAAGGACATCTGTAAAAATGAATGCTATTTCCAATCTCTCTCATCACCTTAAAGTAAGATTTAGTTGGCTGGTATAATTAAGCTGCATATCACACACGTCTGTTTAAAGAGGAACTTAGTTTACTGGTAGACTTTTTTTTTTTTTTTGCGGTGTACAGGCCTCTCACTGTTGTGGCCTCTCCCGTTGCGGAGCTCAGGCTCAGTGGCCATGGCTCACGGGCCCAGCTGCTCTGCGGCATGTGGGATCTTCCCGGACTGTCCCCTGCATTGGCAGGCAGACTCAACCACTGCGCCACCAGGGAAGCCCTGGTAGACATTTTTAAGTGTACATTGCATGTTTCTACTTTCACTGAAAATGGAAAAGTCAGATCTAACAGCCATCCCAAATCAGAACAAGCCAAAACTTAACTAGGCAGCAAGAGGCTAAGAGATGAGAGACTGCAAACATTCATTCTCTTAGCCCACCACAGTCCCACCTTGGTGAACAGAATAGCTGTTCGTGTTTTCGCAAGCAAGGTAAGCCAAATCCCCAAAGAAAATATGATTCGAATGCAGACTTTTGCAAGTGGCTTTATCGTGTTCATAAGTGATTTTTTCTACTTAAGATTTTATTTAAAAGAGAAAAAATGTGTTTTTAAAGCAAAACTCTATTCCACCTTCCATATCTACTTACAGGTTATCAGTCTCCACCTGCCTCTGTATATCAAGCCTGCCTTTTGATTGGTTTGGCATGTGCTATATTTGTTTTAAAAGAGCTAGTCAGATAGAGCTTTCAGTTATCAAAACTGTCTCTGTAGACAGCTGCAGACTCCAAACCACACACATTTAGAAGTAGCGGCTACATCACAGCTACAGTTTACAGCTCTCAGAATGTGGACCCTGGAGGAATCAGTTATAATCTTGACCATCATTTAAGACTGGAAGTACTGCATATTCTTGAAGGCCCACCATGCACACAGATGTATTTAGGGTCTGAGAAGTCCCATACTAAAGAAAATTGGTACTCTGTCATTTCCAAATTTCCTTCACTCTAGGAATCCATTCACGTTCTACATGATACACTTTTACAAAATGCTAATGTATACATGACATTGCCAGTGCAACGCTGTCTGGCTAGAATACAAGCTTCTGGGAGGGTAGAGACTTTATCCGTCTTGTTCATCCCTGAATCCCCAGTGCCAACAATTCTAAACACATAGTAGGTGCTCGTTTGATTTCAACTGAACATTCATCCCCTGTTTCGGAATGTCAAGAGGATAAATGACAGGCTCTAACTCTTCCGTCCTGTTTCCTCTCTTTAGATTAAGTTAGATGCTGCGAAAATCAAACTACCTAGACTGCCTCATGGATCCTACACGCCCACAGGAACAAGGCAGAAGGTCTTCGAGATCTGTGTCTGCGCCAATGGGAGATTATTCCTGTCCCAGGCAGGAACCGGTTCCACTTGTCAGATAAACACGAGTGTCTGCCTGTGAGAGCCGATGCATAGTGGACATTGTCGGCAGCCTCCAGGCCTTTTTCGGCTTTAGACCCTGGCTGCCAGCTATTTTTACTAGAACACAGAAAGCCTATCAAAGACCTTTTGTGTGTGTGTGTGTGTGTGTGTGTGTGTGAGAGTGAGAGTGAGTTTGTGTGTGTGGGTGATATAAATATATATAAATATATATAAATAAATATATATATCCTCTGTATAAAATGAGGTTTCAGTACAAAAGGAACCAAGGGTGACCCTGTGATATCCACTGTCATTGCCATCCCAACCCCACCACATACATGATAAAATCAAAACACTAATTCGGGCCCAGTATTCCCCAGACCCTGCAGAATCACACAGTGTATCGACACTTAGTGAATATTCGCCTACACGTGTGAGTAACAGCCTGTCTTTTCCTTTAGTGTCATTACAAGGCAGTGATGGCGGGAATTTGCAAGTCACACCCAAGGGCTGAGACCCTTGTAGTAAAAGCAGACACTTTATTTGCTTTTGTGCAGCTGGCCAACTTCTCCCCCTTCAAGTTAGGGATGGGGCAGTGCCGTAGAAGTCAGACAGAGGAACTCAACATGGCTGGGCTACTTTTGCATCCAAATGTATTGGGCTTTTGTGGTTGGATGAATTAGGAGGACGGATTTTAGCAAAGTTTGAAAGGCTCACCCAACCCCTGTGAGCTTATTACTTCCTTCAAACTCACGTATTATCCCACAGTCAAAACAGGAGCTGTAAATCAGCACAAAATAGGAAAACAGTTGCTCCTCAGTCGGCTAGAAGCTCCTCGATGGCCTGACAGACTAAGAATAAATGGGCAATAGGTCTCTGTTTGAAGTGAAAAAATGGCTCAAAATCTGTTACATCCTCACTCCTGTTGACTTTATCCAACAGACTCCTACCCAAAATGATCACGTCAATCCAGAGCTTTAAGAGTGGAACCCCTACCCCCAAGAGAAGCTATTTGGAGATGGAAATCAAAGAGTCGCGAAGGGAAACAAATTATTTTAAAATATGTTTCTGGGGACTGGTAGGTAATTTAGAGGCATGTGTTTCATTTTTAAAGGTATGCACAAACTCTCTGCCTTCAATCTTCTTATATATTTTTTCAGTCTTGGGATATTCATTTTCCTACGTTGACCATTGTTTTCTCTAAGAACAGTGACCCAAGAATCACAGATCTAAAGTACCACATGCCCCCAGAAATGCTCGCTGAAAATTAATATAGACTGAGTCAAGTGTCTTTATTAGAATCACTGTGTCGCCAGGGGGCCCAGTGGTACCCACTCCCCCCTATGAGGAAGCAGCTCCCTAATTCCCGCCATCAGCTACCTCCCATCACCCCACTTTCATCATCGTGCTCCAGGGTCACCCTGGCCAGCTCTTGTGCTGGGACAGGGGATTATACCATCTCTGTTCAAAGAGGGGGATACGTGCCTATGCCTTACGACAATGCACTCAGCAAGGAGAAGCACATCCAATATTTATCTTGTGTTACCTGTAGTTTATTTTGAGTGATTGGAGGGGAAGGGTTTCACAATGACTGGGCATCTTAAAAGCTAGTAGGCGAACCAAGTGGCTGACAGATGTGGATGCCTGGGAGCCTGGAAGGGAGACGTAACTGCTTTCGACCATCCTGGATGCCACTTGGCAAGCAGTAGCCCCACAGTCCTAAACGAAGTCATGTTTGTAGGCCTGAATGGCATTTGTTTGTTGTTGTTGTTTTTTTCCTCAACAGGGTTCTGCTTTTTCTTACTTCACAAGCAGTGGGGAGATGTGCCATAGGAAATGAATAAGAGGTTTGGTATTTTTGAGATGACACTCAAGCATCGGGCTGAGTTTTGCACACGTGGAAGGTAAAAGCAAGCTGTGTGTTGCTTAGTCACTTAGAAGTGGGGGGAGGAGGGATGGTTCCAGCCTGACCAGTGGCCCTGCTGGCTCCCGGACCCCAGGGTCCCTCCCGTCACTCCATTTAATATCCATACAGAAGAACTGGGTTGCTTAAGGGTGAGACTATAAGATTGCGTAGTGTGCAGCACTAGGATCTAAAAAGGAAAACCACAAAGAGATATGCAATTGCTCTGGCTCAGTAGTATTTATATCCTGTAGGATCACACCGCCAGAATCTGCATGTACCACACCCAGAGTTTTTCCAAGCCAGGAAAAGCCCTCCTTGGCGACTGGGAGCATCTACCCCATATCTTTCAGATCAACAGTAGTACCTGTAAGGTCCTTTGTGGCTAAATACCTGAAGACAAAGGTTTTTGTTTGTTTTGTTTGTTTGTTTTTTAAGCAGACAGACCATCTTTGCATTTTGTCATCTCAAGTACATATTCTAAGGATGACAAAGAAACGGAAGGTTCCCTGAACCTCTAATATATATAAATATATATAAATAAATATATATATCCTCTGTATAAAATGAGGTTTCAGTACAAAAGGAACCAAGGGTGACCCTGTGATATCCACTGTCATTGCCATCCCAACCCCACCACATACATGATAAAATCAAAACACTAATTCGGGCCCAGTATTCCCCAGACCCTGCAGAATCACACAGTGTATCGACACTTAGTGAATATTCGCCTACACGTGTGAGTAACAGCCTGTCTTTTCCTTTAGTGTCATTACAAGGCAGTGATGGCGGGAATTTGCAAGTCACACCCAAGGGCTGAGACCCTTGTAGTAAAAGCAGACACTTTATTTGCTTTTGTGCAGCTGGCCAACTTCTCCCCCTTCAAGTTAGGGATGGGGCAGTGCCGTAGAAGTCAGACAGAGGAACTCAACATGGCTGGGCTACTTTTGCATCCAAATGTATTGGGCTTTTGTGGTTGGATGAATTAGGAGGACGGATTTTAGCAAAGTTTGAAAGGCTCACCCAACCCCTGTGAGCTTATTACTTCCTTCAAACTCACGTATTATCCCACAGTCAAAACAGGAGCTGTAAATCAGCACAAAATAGGAAAACAGTTGCTCCTCAGTCGGCTAGAAGCTCCTCGATGGCCTGACAGACTAAGAATAAATGGGCAATAGGTCTCTGTTTGAAGTGAAAAAATGGCTCAAAATCTGTTACATCCTCACTCCTGTTGACTTTATCCAACAGACTCCTACCCAAAATGATCACGTCAATCCAGAGCTTTAAGAGTGGAACCCCTACCCCCAAGAGAAGCTATTTGGAGATGGAAATCAAAGAGTCGCGAAGGGAAACAAATTATTTTAAAATATGTTTCTGGGGACTGGTAGGTAATTTAGAGGCATGTGTTTCATTTTTAAAGGTATGCACAAACTCTCTGCCTTCAATCTTCTTATATATTTTTTCAGTCTTGGGATATTCATTTTCCTACGTTGACCATTGTTTTCTCTAAGAACAGTGACCCAAGAATCACAGATCTAAAGTACCACATGCCCCCAGAAATGCTCGCTGAAAATTAATATAGACTGAGTCAAGTGTCTTTATTAGAATCACTGTGTCGCCAGGGGGCCCAGTGGTACCCACTCCCCCCTATGAGGAAGCAGCTCCCTAATTCCCGCCATCAGCTACCTCCCATCACCCCACTTTCATCATCGTGCTCCAGGGTCACCCTGGCCAGCTCTTGTGCTGGGACAGGGGATTATACCATCTCTGTTCAAAGAGGGGGATACGTGCCTATGCCTTACGACAATGCACTCAGCAAGGAGAAGCACATCCAATATTTATCTTGTGTTACCTGTAGTTTATTTTGAGTGATTGGAGGGGAAGGGTTTCACAATGACTGGGCATCTTAAAAGCTAGTAGGCGAACCAAGTGGCTGACAGATGTGGATGCCTGGGAGCCTGGAAGGGAGACGTAACTGCTTTCGACCATCCTGGATGCCACTTGGCAAGCAGTAGCCCCACAGTCCTAAACGAAGTCATGTTTGTAGGCCTGAATGGCATTTGTTTGTTGTTGTTGTTTTTTTCCTCAACAGGGTTCTGCTTTTTCTTACTTCACAAGCAGTGGGGAGATGTGCCATAGGAAATGAATAAGAGGTTTGGTATTTTTGAGATGACACTCAAGCATCGGGCTGAGTTTTGCACACGTGGAAGGTAAAAGCAAGCTGTGTGTTGCTTAGTCACTTAGAAGTGGGGGGAGGAGGGATGGTTCCAGCCTGACCAGTGGCCCTGCTGGCTCCCGGACCCCAGGGTCCCTCCCGTCACTCCATTTAATATCCATACAGAAGAACTGGGTTGCTTAAGGGTGAGACTATAAGATTGCGTAGTGTGCAGCACTAGGATCTAAAAAGGAAAACCACAAAGAGATATGCAATTGCTCTGGCTCAGTAGTATTTATATCCTGTAGGATCACACCGCCAGAATCTGCATGTACCACACCCAGAGTTTTTCCAAGCCAGGAAAAGCCCTCCTTGGCGACTGGGAGCATCTACCCCATATCTTTCAGATCAACAGTAGTACCTGTAAGGTCCTTTGTGGCTAAATACCTGAAGACAAAGGTTTTTGTTTGTTTTGTTTGTTTGTTTTTTAAGCAGACAGACCATCTTTGCATTTTGTCATCTCAAGTACATATTCTAAGGATGACAAAGAAACGGAAGGTTCCCTGAACCTCTTTCATCTAATTTTGTTCTAATCGTTAAATGAAAGTCTGAGATCAGCACCTTGGAAATTTTATGCCAATAAAAAAGACTGGTGTGATGCCACTTGCAAAAATTAATCCTAAATGTACTCAGATCACAAATAGAATAAAAATAATAGCAACCAAGACTAAAAATCAACACCTATGGGGACAGACATGATATAAAATTCTGATTTTCATTTGTGCTAAGTGACTACGGTATATCAGGTAATGAGCAGGAAGTTTGGCGTGGATTAAATTATGTATTTCAGTTCAGACTTTAGAATTCAGTAATTGCATATTAAGTCCTTCAGTGTACATTTTTTTCTCCCAACTTCCTCCAACTAGAATACCTGTCCGTGGTCATGAAAAAAAGTTTTACCTGAATTCTGGGGAAAAAAATCTCTTTTACATTAAAGTCTGATACCTTTAATTTATAAAAATGAGATCCTTTCTAATCTTATACAATATCTTCTAGAAAATCACATCTCTCAGTATATTAAGCAGTGGGTGGCATAACAAAGAGTTTACATGAATTTTCAATATTCTAGAAGTTCCAGTATGTTAATATTTTCAGAAAAGTTTTATAAATTAAAAGTTGATCTCCAAATATGTTTAGCACCTACTTCTATTGGATATCTGCTCAATAAGTTGTTAAAGTTTAGTCTTTAAGAGGTTTTCAAAAGCCCTTTTGGTGACATCAGTCCAGGTGGAAACTTGATACAAAGG